GTTGGTCATTGCTGGTAATGTTCATCAAGGTTCTCTCAAATATTTGTGTGCTATGTATGGGGCTAATACCTGCATGACAAATAGTCTTGTAACAATGTCGTATTCTTAGATAATTAATGCTGCTAATTGGAACAGTGTAATTATTCGCAACATTCTTGACATGGGGCAATTTTATTTTCCGTTCACGCTTGTAGATCTGAATGCATGTATGAACACAAAAATATAAGTTGAAAGAGTTCAAGAGCAGTGATTGAATTCTATTAAGTTCTATCATGGACGCCTTTTTACTTTCATGGTTGTTTGGATAAACTTAATTTCAACAGCTTCAGTCTGACGAAGAATTGATTTTTGCAACAACGTCCTGCGCCATCGATATCTTTGCACAGCTATACGCTACATTGCGTTCCAGTTCGCATTACATGTAGATCACTGAACCGAGCTATACACGGAGCTGCACACTGCTTGAGCATAGGTTTATGTCAACACCATTCTCTTTCAACAAATACACTGTACATAATACGTCAATATACTGTGAAAACACACAAAATACGTAACAAAATCAAACAAAACGATTCCGTCACCCGGAAAAGCCCACAACTATCAGATTATTTAGGTCGACGAACTACGCAATCACAGATCGAATGTCTTAAAGCGCGTAGCTGAGCGCGCTGGCGAGCGCACGACAAGCTTGACTAAAGATCACGCAAAATCGCTACAAAATCCTAGTTTTTCTCTCCAATAAGATAGTCAAATAGTGAACGTAAACCTGGCAAACCAATCAGTTCACGAATATTGCCGCGTATCGTGTTCCCCTGACAAGTTATTGACGTAAATCAGGTAAATTGAGGAGGAAGGTACCCGGATGGAGCTTAACATACAATTATGGCAAGAGGTAGACATAAACAAATGTCAACCTCTAATACGGTAATCTGATTGGCTGTCATGGTCATGAAGTATAATAATAATACATGTATTTCACTCCCTAAACAATATTTCACTAAAATATTTTATTAAACGGCAATATCAAGTTCCGTGTATAAACACTGGTGTAAAAAGGCAGCGGAGCGGTATTTTATCCAAATCGGCTAGTAAGGCGTCATATGGCACAAGTCTGTGCTGGGACAGGGCTTTCTGTAACGACACAACGACCCAAGGGATCGATAAATTATGTTGGGCAAAGGGCCATTTTACCATGATTTTGAACTAGTGTATATATGTACTTGTGTTATGTTCAGTTGACCATAAATTATGTATTATGTATAAACTATGTGTCAAATTACACATACTTTTACTAGAATAAAGTTCAACCTGTATTTCTCTGACACACCATATTTGAGGTTTTGATGAAAAGTGAAATAAAGTAATAAATTCTGAACCATAAAAAACAAGACGCTCATATTTCACTCAGAGAGAATATATTGAGCAAAGAAGGCTTAGTCTTTTCCATGAAACAAAACGAAACTTTAAGGCAGTCGTCGTACCGCATCCTGTTCGATATGGGACTCATAGCGACGTATACAACGCGTGTAAAATACATTGTATATTTACATGAAATTCGAACACGCGCTGCGCGACGACCACCACGCTTTAATTAACACGTTAAACATAAAAAAACAGAATTGGCACCGTGACCTGCTAGCAAACTGAAAGGAAGTGTGAAGCTGGGTTTCCGTGGCACCCGAAGCATTCTCCAACCTAGACTACTTGAAAGAAATGATGAAATTGGGAAGTACCGTAATTGACTATCAATGAATCTATCATAACTTTTAAATTAGCTTCGAAGTGAAAGTGATACCTGAGAGTGCCGGAGAAATGACTACATCCGTGACTGACTTACATCGTTGACCGTGGAAGACTAGACTCAACGAACGTTTATCGATAAATCAAACCTCGAACCAGATATACATTTTCCTTATCATCTATCTCTTTCCTTACTTATTAAGTCAGGGCATGGAGCCATGGTCAGGGGAACAATCCAAATGTTTAGCTAACACAATTAACCTCCATTTTGAGCAGGACAATAAATAACAGACTCCGATTGAGATGGATAGTTCCTAGACTGTCGACATCCCTCAGGCCTAATTTGTGAGCATACCAAATCAGCAAATGCCGAAGACGTTTGAAAAAAATGCCGCAGGCATTTCAGCAAAGGATGGAGGCCTCAGGCTGTTAACGCTTGTAAACGCCCTCACGCGACATTGCGTGGTTTTCCACCCGTACTGAACAGTGACTGATTGACAGCTCATGCATGTACCAGTGTAAAAAAAGAAAGAAAATCACATAATGTCGCGTGAGGGCGTTTACAAGAGTGTGCGGCCCTAAGGCCTCAGGCCTTCGCTGAAATGTCTGTGGTACTATGTACATGAGAGCTTTCAATTATATAATCTTGTCGTTCAAAAATACATCATTGTAATTCGTACGCAACCATCAAGAAAGAAAAACTACACAACATATAGAGCAAAAACCAGATCAAATATAGCTGAAAGCAGCAAACGAAATGAAATCATGGCCTTTTCATAGCAAACTATCGCAGACTGTTTTACAAAAACAAAACCAATCACAACAGCATGCGAATAACATGGTATAGAGGCAATAATTGTTACAATAAAATAAATAAATAAATATCAGTACTCAGATTCCATACAGTGTTTGTTCACTGGTTAACTGGAAATAAGCAGAATTACACAAACAAATAGGAAACAATATGGTTGTCTTGCACGCGAGAGTCGTGTTAGAACCATTTTATTATGTTCACTGGTTACATGGAAAAAAAATGGCTTGCATGTAAGCTGCCGATTGTTAGTGTCCATGCGAACATGACTGGCTTGCAAGTAAGTGGCGGCTTAAAACTATTCCACATTGTTCACTGGTAACATGGATAGACCCTGGCTAACATGTAAGCTACCTATAGATAGGGTTTATATAGACGCAGTCTCTCTGATAGAAGGGCTGTGATGCCATAAACTATCAGCTTTGGAGAGGGGTGCACTTAGAGTATATAAACAGATTGTATATAACTTTACTTTTAACTTATTTATTTTTCATTTTATTATTATTATTATTATGCATATTATGCATTTGGTTTCAATAATTACACTAGGAGTTACAAAGTGAACATGATATGTATTGTGATTGTGAAGGTGTTACAGCAACACTACTTGCCGGAGCAACGTTCTAAAACACAAACTCCATATTATACCTCAGGCTAATAATCGTTGAAAATGGTAGACGCGTCTTTTGTGGTAATTATAACAAACTGTATAGTAGAAACTACTGCCTGTATCTTGCCCACTGCCCCGGGGATCAGAACTTGTACGTTTTCCTTCGAGGTTGCCATCCCGCGATCATAGTTCCTATGAGTATGCTATAACATACAAGTAAATTGATATTTGGTGCCTAGAGGGCGCTACATATCACCAATGTGTTTACAGCGAACATGGCAAGTCCAACGCCAAAGTATAGTTACCGTAATGTCAAAAATAAACGAACCGGGTTCAACCATTATATTCTCGAGGAGGAGATGGTTGAACTGTAAAAATAATTTCAAACTACAATTTCTTTCTAAACGACGTTGTTTTTTCCTGTAGCAAATGTGTGATACAAATAAAATAAAGTCATTTTCCATATAACATTTTGCTTTCAAAATGATGTTTTTTTTTCCCAAATCTGCGTCTGTTTTTAAATCTATCTTATCAGGTTCCCTAATAATGAAACATAAACAGGTTTAAATAATGCAATGTCAAAATTACTTTACAGGAACTGTGAACCGCTGATGTAGTTTTGAGATTCGAATTAAACAATTGAATAATCCACCTATAACTAATCAGCATATTCGACGCATTGGTCAATGCGATATCATCTTAAAGCCTTTTGTTTGCGCCCTCAATCTACATCTAAACAAAACACTTGTTTTTATAGTGTATGACGAAGACGATCTTCGGAGGTCCGACGCAAAACAAAGAGTGGTCTTCAAATCTGTCTCCATTGAAAACAAATGTAAATGAAATTTGTCTTTGCTTTAGTGAAGCACGAAATAAAATAAGTCGGGTTTGACGACTGAAAGTTGTATTGCGTGCGGCCCAACGATGGAAGCTCAGAATAATTTACTTCTACCAGATTACTAGAATGGTTGTAATAATTTAAAATTCATGTGAACCAAATGTATTCGGTCTCGTTAAAATTAAAAAGTTTCACTGATTACTGGAAACATGTTGTATCTATTTTTACTAAAATCGCCGAGTGTCATGAGTGGCGTGGTTGTTTCATGTACGTATCGACTGTCACGGTAGGAACGCGCACCAATGGTGCTACTTGACCGATTGTTAAGCATAGCATGCAATAAATTAGACTAGCCCAGCCATGGCAATTTTATTGTTTTAAATGATAATTCCTTTTAAGAACCGTGATGAGTTTGTACAATCTTACGTGTTGACTCGTTAATCTCGCGCCGGGCCAAGATTAAAAAAAAAAAAAAAAAAGAATTATACAATTGGCCATGACTAGGCCAGTCCAGCAATGGATCTAAATTGTTTGTTGTATCTGTGTCATAGGCGCGTTAATGTTTGAAAACG